GGTGGAGGGGCTGAACGCCGGGGCGTAGCGCCCGCTGCGGTGCTCTGCCAGCGCCGGGCCCCAGTCCTTGCTTGCCTTGGTAGCATTTTTCAAGCGCTAGAGAGAGGGAGAGGATGGGGACAGGGTTAGCGCCCACCGTGCTCCCCTGCCCCAGCCTCCCCCAGCATGCCAGCGGCTCCCAGGGGGGCCTGGAGGTGGGGCCCATGGACACTGTCTGCACACAGCTGCTATGGGCTACCAACAGCTCTGGTGGGGTGGGGGACAGCCTTGCCAGTAGCTCCAGGTGGGACTTGAACAAGGGAGTCTAGCCCCTGGCCACCCACCTCCAGCAGCGTGTCCCCCTCAGAGCGGCACACTTTGTAGATGGCGTAGATGGGGATGCAGATGACCGAGGAGAGTGCCATGAGGAAGCCGATGCTGATGGCCCCGGTGGGGGAGACGGAGTCCTTGGAGGAGGTCGGTGAGGACCAGGATGAACTGGGGAGGGACAGGCAGGATCAGCCAGTGGGGAGCAACCAGCCTGCTCTGCGCCCCCCTCAACTGCCCCCTCTGCCCCATCCCTGCAGCCCAGCACCCCCTTCCTGAGGGTGGGCAAGTGTGGGGCCTATGTGGGCTCCTCGCCCCCTCCTCCTCTGGCCCCGTGCCCCATGGTCACGATGCTCACAAAGATGATGGCGGGCGAGATGAAGCGCCAGCAGATCTGGAAGAAGAGCGGGGGCGGGAAGCCCAGCATCATCTCGATGTCCTTGAAGTAGCTGCGGTACCCTGCGGGGATGAGTGGCCATCAGCCCCAGCGCAGCTGGGCTGGAGCCCCGGTGGGACCCCAAGTCCCCTCCCACCGCTGGCCAGCGCCAGCTCCAGACCCTGGGTGTTCGGACCCACCAGGATCCTCGGGTCATGGCCACCCTGACAGGCCAATGGCCTTGCACTCCTCAGCCAGTTAGCACGCAACAAACCACCGATTGGCCAGAAGTTAGCACACCCCCTTCCCCACTGGTTGGCTGGGGCAGCCCCGCCCCCCCAATTGGTGGCGGGGG